ATTTCCAGCCAATTTTAATCTGCGAAAACTTAAATGCAATATCAATCGCTATCTACTGTCCTTCTGGTTGCTTTTTTTCTCTTCCCGCTCATTATTAAAATTCGTGTTCCTAATTCTTCCACACCCTGTAACCTCTTGTGCCTTAATGGCTTTAATGAATTGCATGGAATGATACCTCTCTATATTTCTGAGATGAGGTATTATGTACATTATTTACATTATTCGGACTATTTTCCTCATCTTTTTCGCCATATTTATTACAACGTTTCGGCCTTTGTACGCACCGACCTTCTTCAGGTGGTTGGAATTTCGAACTGAACCCTTCATTTCACTCACTGGGGTAGATTGTTCTAGTTCCACGTACCATGTTTAATGGATGTCAGTTATCAGTTATCTCCTGTTAATTCCAGAAATTCATTTACCGGCGTCCTCGAGCACACATGGCACAGTGGATAAAGGAGTTGGGTAGTTATAGTGGCAGAACCCAAAGAGTGTGAGTTCAATACCCGGTAACGGCGTTGGATTTTGGTCTCGCATTTTCTGTTCTCTGTTGAAACACTTCACAGGTCTCTTAGTTTTTGTCCTTGATTGATTTCAGTTTCTCCATTTGGTAGTCCCCACAGTTTCCTGACAACCATACATTTTGTCTTCTTTCAGTTTTCTATACAACTTTTTTCTTGTAGTTTACTTTCTGTGTCTATCAACCCTGCCCCTCTTTTGTTGTTAAGACTGTGTCCACCAATAATGAATCCCTCATTTTAAAAGTTAAATAAATCCGCCAAGAAGAAACAAATTTTCAGTTTTTGTGTATTTCTTGACTTTATTTTCTATCTTCATGCAAGCAGTTTGCTCCCAGAATAAGTTCTGAGTTATTCTAATTTTTCACAAATGAATCAACCTAACCTGAGTGTTCAAAGAGTCCTTCATGCGGTATTTTATCAAACACTTTTGCATAATCTATAAAGCATATGCATCAGCGCCTATATGGCTACGTGGCTGCGTGGTTAGAACGTTCCCTTCCCGGTTCTTAGACTAGGATTGGAATCTCACCATGGTCGATTTGTCAGATAGAAGACTTCCTGATGTTAGCGGACTGGAGGGCTCGATATCAGCGTGAAGCACGTTTATTTTATTTATTTATTTTTTACGTAAAACATACCATGGGTTGATCCTTGTATGTGTAATTGGGTAAACGGAACCCTTGTGGGCCGTCGATAGTTGTGCTAACCCGAAGTCACATGTCATCAGAGATTGAGCGTGATGGCCTTGTTTAAATTGTTGATCATGCTAGATAACACGCTCTTTCCCAGAAACTGTAACTAAGGTCTGCTCAGCAAAGTTGCAGTATAAACCACAGGTGGGCTCTGTGGGTGTTGAATAAACACAAAAGCGTTTGCAATAGGAATTGGTTAGGCGCACTAATAAACGGGCATTCTTGAATATATAGGTATAAATGACTACATTCCACAAAATACGCACACAGAATAACTAAGAATAGCTTTTAGACCAGAAACCATATATTCAAATACGGAATAAATAATTAAATTTGAAATTCAATATAATGCAAGGTAAATTTATTTAGAAGATTCTGTTTAAATAATAAGAGAATTTCTTTTATAGTTCGCTTCTTAACTGTTTTGATAAAGTGGAAAGAATCTTCAATAGAGAAACTTAATTTCAATAAAATAGTTCAGAAGCAAAACGCTAGAAAACCTCTGCCCTTAAGAAAAGTTCTTCTGTCTTAACCTTGTAGATATCAGTTCAGAAAATATACACAGACGACACATGAATATATCTTCCGCCTAAATTAAACTGGCTTAGTGTTGATCATCACTAATGAACCTATTCAAAAAAAACGATCGATATTCCAAAATGGAGAAATATCAGATGTTCTGAAAACAGTCATGTTCAGAATTAGGCCGTGATTCAAACTTTATTTTGACATTCAGCTTTTCTTAGTTATAAAGCAATGCACTCATATCCTGATCATGTGTTTTCATTTTGAAACTTATCGAGCCATCCCGTGCGAATTTTTTTCCATTAGACGGGTGGCTGAAGATGAAGATATTTTCGTTAATCTATTATTTCTCTTAACGAAATGAAGAAAGATTTTGTTTTGAAATATTTCTCTTTATAAGGCGCTGAATAAACATCTTTAAAGATAACTGCCTCGAAGGTGAGATATAAGCGTGCTTGCCTTTAGTTTCACTGGTCTGGGTTCGAATTAAGGTAAAAAGATATGCATGTTTTTTTTTTGAGGGGGGTGAGAAAGGAAAGTTCTCGCTACGTAGAAAATAAAATAATGGATAAAAAAGAAGAAAAATTCTGGTATTTTTTACTGTTATGTTGCCTGATTTTCATTGGTCAATCATGTATCACGTGAATTCGATTCTTTTAAACCAACGTTGTTAGTATAATTTCCAAATTCAAGGGGAGATAACCCATCCATTCACGGTACCTGAAAAACATTAAATATTGCTTTATGTGTATAATTGTATAAAAATCAGAGTTTATCTATAGGGGATTCAGATGATAATCTATATTCGCCACTGTGAGTGTGCATATCAAGTAGTTATTATGTGTGTTGGTTTTTCGCATGTTGATTTGGGAACGTTTTTACGTAAACAGCGTTTGTTTTAAATTAATTGATACAATAAGGGTTGGAGATGTAATATAATGTTTTCGAAGTGTATTTACAATCGGTAATATTGTTAGTATTAGCCTCTCATTGTACTTTCTCTTTCAAGAATCTTGTCCTTTTTTAATTAGGGCGGCTTAATTAAAATCAAAGTTTCGGCTAATTTTGTTCCTGTGTAAGACGAGAGAGTATCATTGGCTGTCTAAACTCTCTTGTGTGCGAATGTGCCTCCGTGTTTTTCTCCACAGATTACGGTAAGCAGCGTACACCACAGATGTTTTTATTATCTTTCTTTATATATATATTGATCATTTATACATTTTCTACGGCTTATCAACCCTTTGCAGGAAAATCTAGAATTTTTTTTTAATTGCAAGATTACGTTTTTGGAGATGGATATAATGTTTTTGCGATACAAGTCTTACTAATTAACCTATAGATGGAGGAGAAATTGTGGATTCATAAATTCCTCAGGAGTATTTACTTGTAAGGGAAGTTATAACCCAGGTGAAACTCGAATTAGTTTCTCCGATTAACAATTCCAAAATGTTATCCATTACACAAATCGCATATCCAAGCTTACAGCGCGTGGTATACCTAAATGGTCACCCAGGTACTAACCAGTCACTACGGGAATTGGTGCCTAACATATTTATGTTATAATTTTCGAATAAATTATATATATATATATATATATATATATATATATATATATATATATATATATATATAACGAAATCTTGATAATCCGTATGGATAATCCCAAGGAGGATGAATGTTAAGTCAGAGCGAATAATTTAATTTAAAGAAAACAGACCACTTTAAGGTTCCATTTGAAATAATTTATTTCACTAGAAAATTTATTTTTTCTCTGGATCTTCAAACTTCACTTTCAAAAGGTGAAACGAAAAATGAATTTAAAATTTACACATTTGACGGGCAGTATTAAGCTTATATAAGTTGACATAGAAGGGGGTGAGGAATGGTGTGAGAGACATAGTAGAGTTTAGAGAGGGAAAGAAGAGTTTTAAAATTTATTTTTATATTTCTTTTTCTTATAATACTTAATATTGAGGTAAGGATCAGATATTGACCTATTTAATCGGTCAACTCAACGGAAACAAAAAAGAAACATACTTAACATCAGAAAGAGACACTTGTAATTTCTAGGGAATATAATGAAGAAAGACGGCTTGGAAATTTTAATAATCACCGGAGAGACTAAAGGCAAGAAGGACAGAGGACAACAACGCATCACCTACCTGGCCAATTGGAGTAAATCGATGGCGTAACAAGGATTAGAATTAATAACGAAAAGACAAAATTTATTAAGAGCTCCAAAAGACAGGGAATTGTGGAGAGCCATGATCGCCTACGTCCTGAGTGGACACGGCACTTAAAGAAGAATATATATATATATATATATATATATTAAAAAAAGTAGGGTGCCGCAAACGTTTTTTGGTTGTAATGTGGATTTATTGAGAAAAATATTATACTTTGTTTTACATAATTTCACGACACGTGTTTCTGGTCTGGTCTCGCAACCGTCTTCAGGTGAAAGTGGAGATTTTTACATATTATTAAAAAATAATTAATTTTTTCTTCATGTTCGATGTGGAATATTCTCGATATGAGACATTCTGAATTTTCTAGAAAGAAAATTCGGATTGCCAACACACAAACAGAATGTCTCATATTTCTTTTATATATATATATATATATATATATATATATATATATATATATATTCCCCTTCTCCACGTTTTACTATTCTGCCAATCTTCTTTGTCCTAATACTTCCAGCACATCTTCTGTCATCGATTTACACAAGCTCGTTAGGTAGGCTATTCGTTGCTTACCCCTGTCTCGCTTACTTTCAATATGTCCTGTGAGTGACAATTTCTCCATGCCTTGTTACCCAGTGAGATTTGATATAAACATTAGAAGAGGAAGTAAGAGTTCAAAATTACGAGGATTTAGGGAATAGATTTCCAGTAGAAATGCGCATAATGTTGTGTGTCAAGGATGACAATTAATGTAAGAGCTCCTGCTGCTACTGACTGAGAAAAAATAGTTATATTTGAATGATTGAAAGTCGATTGGTAACATTCCAACGTGAATTAATGCGGAATAAGGGTACATAAGCCTAGCCAGAGTTCAAACTTGACTTAGCAGATTCGTTTTATATATGGCGTCTATCCGGAAAGTATTCAACCATTTTGTACTTGTTACGCTTCGTTAGCAACACTTAGCAACCAATCATACATGAGGTTTTTACGCATGCGTGAACAAATTCTCTCATTTGGAACACGTCTTCCTGACGCATTTAGAATGGCGTGTAAGCTTATGGGAAATCATGTTGAAACACCGGTTCTCGTACGATCACTGAAGTTAAGCAACGTCGAGCTTTGTCAGTAACTAGTTGTGTGATCGCTTGGGAATACCACGCTTGCATGTCCGGGTTGTCTAATGTATAACGGCTCAGAATTGGAAATCGGGGAGTAGTTTTTCAGTTCCGGTGGGTTTCGTTTCACTTACTCGCGAATACTCTTGACAAAGGTATGAATCCAACTCTCCCCCCCCCCCAGTTATGTCTTAATTAGTAGGACGTGCATCAGAAAGTAATTTTTATTTCTAGAAATATCTAAAAACTTTTCCGGATTTAAATATTTAAGTTCTGATAAGCCATAAAAAACAAATCAGTCAATCAATAGAATGACCTGTCTTTTTTTTTACATTTTTTATTTTCATTACTGTTGTGGAATAGCTGAATACCCCCACAAGATGAACTGGTCTAAAACTATTTCAAAAACACTCTCTTATTGCTTAAAACGTTATTTATAATGGATACCCATATTTGAGAAGATGCGCTTTTTTTATTATTATATTATATATTTATTTCTATCTATCTGCCTGCATATTCGATCAACATATGCACTCTCCGGTAGAATTCAAACCTGCGTTCCTCTATGGGTAAACCATCATTAGATCTGACGTGTTTTGACCTTTTGGCTACGAAGACCCTTCTAGCAAAGCAAAGACCGAATAGTGCTTTTGAACCCAGATCTTTCCCGTTTCTCAAAATATATATCTCTACTCAGTTTTGCATCCTAACGTAAACAAAGACAATGTTTTAAGAATTGATTTATCATTTATTAATCCAATACTTTTTAATTTACTGCTTATATTTAAAAGTTATTTTTAAGAGAGTTAAGTATTTGAGTATGTCGGATTGATAAATGAAATGCCCATTCCTATATATATATATATATATATATATATATATATATATATATATATATATATATATATAGTCATCCACAGACAGACTGTTTCGCTGTATCACAGCTCATCAGTGTGACTAGACATCCGGTTGCCTCTAGCTAGGATTGGAACCCAACTGAATTGGCGTTAATCGGGATTCAACCACTAAGCCGTTGGCGCACGGCAGGGATGAAGGTGAATTTAAGCGTATTTATTTTTAGATAAACACAGATATTTTTAGATAAACATACAGTGACTGAGAGAACTCGAAACATCAACTATACGACAACATATATATATAAAGAAATATAGTCTTAAGGTATGCTATATTTATGGAATAAAGTGCTCAATATCAGAGATAGAGCGTGTAAATATAAAAGTGAACATAGAAGTCAACACTTAGAGGCGACAGTCTGTTTCATGCTATATGCAATCGTCAGGCCACATATGCTGTTATTTTTCTCGGCTATTTATATATATACGGGTTAGTGGTGCATTGTGGGTATTCTTTTATGGCGGTTATTTTACCAGAAGTCGTTTGTTTATTTATTTAGGTAAAATTATATTGAGTATGTCGGATTGATAAATGAAAGAAATATAACAAGCATTATAATTTGACCCAAATAAACAAACAAACGACTTCCGGTAAAATAACCGTCATAATAGAATACCCACAATGCACCACTAACCCGTATATATATATAAATAGCCGAGAAAAATAACAGCATATGTGGACTGACGATTACATATAGCATGAAACAGACTGTCGCCTCTAAAGTGTTAACTTCTATATTCACTTTTATATATATATATATATATATATATATATATATATATATATATAGGGTGTCCATAAAGTTCGTGCTCACTTTAAAACATTTATAACTTTATTTGTATTTGCGATAGAAATAATCTGTAAAAAGGATTAGAAAGAAGTAAATCTATATTTTTTTAAGGTTTTATTGAAATTTTGTTTAAGTTTTCCATGTCCTCCACGGAGCCTGTCTCTTTAAATTTTTCCATCCATTTAGCAATAGTGTTCGTATGAGGTGGTTCTTTATTGTATTTAATTCTAAACTTTCTTTGTACAGCAATAGTAGATTTCAGTTCAGCCAAACAAAGGACATAGTTTATTTTTTCCTCAGTTGAAGCCATGGATCAAATTGATTCTGGAAAAAAGAAACTATTTTTTTACTTATCTAAAAATTGTTGCAAATTTTGTGGTAAAGAATTACTCAATAACTATACTTAAAACTAGGTACATTAAACTTTATAACATCTTTTACAGATTATTTCCATCGCAAATACAAATAAAGTTATAAATTTTTTAAAGTTCACACGAAATTTATGGAACCTTATATATATATATATATATATATATATAGTCGTGTGGTTGATGTTTTTCCTCTGTAGTAAAACCGATAATAACGATGTCAGCTCGGCTGTACCGAAGCCCAAGATTTTATTTTTCTCTCAGTAAATTCTTCTTGTTCTGTGATCGGACGTTCACAGTTGTCTGTCATCTCAGTGTCAGTTCTTTCCTTTCATTTAGAACCAATCTCAAAGCTAAAGCTACGCGACATGTCAGTATTATTATTCAAATCAACAGCCATCAGTTTGCTAAGTTTATGCCACTTATTGGGAAGATAAAATGTCCGAAACGTATTATTCCTATGTGAAGCCAACTTACTCCACGTCTATCGGAGTCAAATTGCCAAATAATCGAAAAATGTACATGATCAGCTTTGTTATTAAGAGACGGCGTTTACGATTTGGCCATCCTTTTGAAAGCACTGTGGAGTGAAGGATAGCGGCTAGGATTGAGAAATCAGAGGGCCGAGTTCGAGTTCCAGTTATGTGCATTATTCTTTAAAGCCTAAATTTAAATACATGGTGTCCATAAAGTTCGTTAGCACATTTAAAAATTTATAACTTTATTTGTATTTGCGATAGAAATAATTTGTAAAAAGGATTAGAAAGAAGTATATCTATATTTTTTAAGGTTTTATTGAAATTTTATTTAAGTTTCCATATATCCTCCATCATTAGCAATACAAAGGGTAATACGATTTTGCAGTTCACGGAAAACATTTACCAACTGATTTACAGTAATGCCTGAAATTGCATTAGTTATTTTAGCTATACTTAAAACTAGGTACATTAAACTTTATAACATCTTTTACAGATTATTTCTATCACAAATACAAATAAAATTATAAATTTTTAAAGTGCACACGAACTTTATGGACACCCTGTATTTTGAACATAATTTTATGGTTTCAACTATAGATAAAAATGTATTGTTGGTCATTTTTCCATAAGCTTTATTGTTGCTAAATCTTCTTTAAAATATTTTGTTGTTAATTATACTTTAAATATGTATCGTTGGTAAATTTTTTTATATACAAAATTTATTGCTGGTATTTTTACTGTGAAAATGTATTTTTACATTTTCATAATGTTTCACTATTTACCCATGGCTGGAGTCGTAACAGGTTCTACCCCTCCTAGTTAGAGTGGACCTGGGAACGACAACAATTATGTGGTTGCTCCACGCTCCTCATAATCTCCGATCAGAGCCTTTGTTGCTGGATGTAGTTTCTCGTCATATTCAGGACTATGCATATCTGCCATGTTCTTCCTTCTTAGAATAATGGTTCAGTATATTCTTCGTAACCTATTTTCGTCCCATCTTAGTCTTTTACAGAGCTTAAATATTGAGTATGTAGGTTTTTTGCTTGAGTTTATCAGACGATCAATGTAATTATCTCTGGATCACACCGAAGGCAGGAATTCTTATAGATAATAAGTTCACAAGTGCTGAGCTAAAGACAAAATGACTAACGTTTGCTTGAAAAGCCGAAGGGAATCGAACGTAAGACAAAATGTTTCAACTATAAAACATTTGCAATAATTTAATGAGCTGAATGATAAAAATGTATCAACGTGACCAAAGTGAATTACCTAAAGGCAGGAAACGTACTCTCAGATGCAAAATAAAAAAAACCAGAAACTATAAGTGGGGACACTTTCTAAAGTTGGAAAAACAAAAGAGAATGTAATAAACAGGATAGCTTTACTTGCATTATTTACATTATTTGGACTGTTGTCCTCATCTTCATTGTCATATTCACAACCTTTCGGCCGTTGTACGCTCCGGCCTTCTTCAGATGATTCGAATTCCACTTATCCATAATTCTTGTAATTCCATTTATCCACAGTTGATAAAGACTTTGCTTAGATACAGTGAATAAACCCAAAAAGTTGTGAGCAGTGGTGAACCAAAACTAGGATAGATGAATTAACGGGAAATAACTAAGACATAGGGAAGAGGCATGGTACGTGGAACTAGAACAATCTACCCCGGTGGACGAAATAAAGGGTTCGGTTCGAAATACTAATCTGATATGGCGGACTGGCATTTAATTTTAATTAATTTATACCGGAAACGATATAGATAATGAAAATTGACTATTTTTTATCTTCCATTTATTTTGTAAAAGATAATTCAATATCAAAACAACATATAAAAAGTAATAACAAATAATCAGTTTCTTAACATAAAAACAAAAGTTATATAACCTTAATCTTTAAAAATGATTCCTTAGCATGGGCTGGACACTGGCCGCGTACCGGCAGCTGATGGTTCGCGTACCGGCACCGGTCCGCGGCCCACCATTTTGAGTAGCACTGATCAAGAGTAATTACATTCACCAATATAAATCATTCTCAGAAATAATTCTGCAAGCGTTAGTTGACCAATTCTATTTTCTTACTTTATATAAGGTGCGTGCCTATTCTTTTTGTAGAGACTAGTAGAAAACATTTTCAGAGGAACTAAAGTAAATACAAGAGGAATAAACGATTTCACATCTGTCCAAAATTGATTTTACTTCAAAAAGTATTTCTACTTGCGATTATACTGATATTTATCGGCACAGAAGCAAAATCGATGAACCGGGTTCAAATTCTAGCTGAGAGAGATTTGTGTTCATTTCGGATTAAGGACCTTAGGAAAATTATGGATCCATTTCCTCTCCCCACAACCATTTCCTGGTTTGGAAAAACTTCAGCATCTGTCTATATTTCTGAGATGAGGTATTATGTACACTGATTTACATTATTCGGACTATTTTCATCATCTTTGTCGCCATATTTATTACAACGTTTCGGCCGTTGTACGC